GATTAATAGGAATGATACGGGAAACCTACAAAAATAGCAGAACAAATGTTAAAATTTCGATATCGATCCTCTTGTTAATCTTTCTATTATGTATAATAATTTATAAGTTAATATTGACTGATATTAAACGAAATAATGATGTTTCTATGAAGTACCTGTGATGTATGCTGAATATCCTAAGTATACTAAGAATTTTGAACACTGTAGATACATCAGATATACTAAATGCATCAAGTACATAAATTATAATATATAATCTTCTATATATATTTAAAACCTATTATATAATCTGCTCTTAGATTCCTGGTTTTAAAGCCAAGTTTCTTATTTAGAAAATTTTCTAACCTCATCTGCTTCTTCTCTAATTTAAAGTATCTTCTGTATCTGACAATGTAAGTTAAAAATGATTAATCAGGAACGAGATTTTCTGAAAACTGTGATCTTGAAGTGTCTTCGGGCATTTTAAATTATCTTCTACTTTATAACTGAAAGGTAATGAGAGGGCAGAGCGTGGAAAAAATAAATCACGATCATTCTAGGATCGTGAAAATTGGCCGTGCAAATGCTGCTTAACGTTGTCGATATAAACATACATGTCAGAATTAATGATACACAGTTTAGTTACGCGTCAGTTGATTTTCCCAGGGCACCGCTTTTGTGCCTAATAGCAGCCTGGGGAAGTAGCCCATAGGGTACGGTGACCCGCCCGCTTCGGTGCACTCTTCAATATGTCACTGTGGCTAATTTTAGGGGCACACCGTCGACCACCGACGGCAAAGTCGATTCCTTTCAACGAGTTCACGTCCTGTGACCGATTTCCAGTGGATTTGTTTGCCTCGTTGGAGCCGTTGAGAATTTTAAGTCCACTTTAGTTGAAATCAGTGACGACATATCTTCAGGAATGATGATAGATTTGAAGACCGACATACTTGATTTTTAGAAGAAGTCGTGTTATACCCTCACAACAGATTCAATGATCTTTATAGTTAGGTTATGGTAGTTTCGTCTTGGAAGATTTATTGATTCGAAGAACTTTTTAGCGAATCCTTTTAAAGTAGTTAGACCATACATTTTTCTATCTTATACTTTCTCTTTTATTCGAAGCATGAGATTTATGTAATCCGACTAAAAAGAAAATTGCGTTACGGAAATCTCAATTAAATATGCAGGCTATTGACTCGCAATCGCATTGAGAACAATCATTTTCAGGGTGACGGTGAATTACCAAATAACGATGAAACACGTCCAAATGTAAACGAGTCAATATGTTACATAATTGTCAGGCCAGTTAATTACCTCACTCCAGGCTATATTATTGCAATCTTGTTCCCTGACGAGATAATAAATGACAAAAGATGATATCGATTTTCAGAATTAAAACATCGACGCTGGTCCAGGACACATTTATGCGTGGTGAAAACGAGATTTTAATTTAGCAATTTCTATTCTCTACCGATTTATTTATATTCCAGTACTTTTAGAACTCTACTTAAATCATACTCTATTCATAATTTTCAATTGTTATCGATATTTTTATTTCGATTTCTCCTCGTAACTTCGTTTAAAAACGTTAAACCAAAATAATGTTACCTCGATCATGCTTCCTCGTACAACAACATATAAAATTTATGTAACATTCCTAAACTTTGATTAGAAATTAGTAGTTACGACCCTTAATCTCCAGAAAAAACACCCACGACCCTAACCTCTAAAATATCTACACGAAGTATCTAATTATTTTCTACAATTTCATTATCAAACACAAAGCTTCCAAAATCCACTAAACTACAGTATAGAATCTCTCTGTCCTAATACCGATGTCTTCGACCACTTCATAACCTAACCTTGCGAAATTGATTCTCACGTTTCAAGTAACGTGGACCGAACGCGGGAGATCGATATTTAGCTGCCGACACTGGCGGCTGCGAAGAGATCCCTTCGATCGAGGAGGCAATTAATTACGGAAGATGATCGGTAATTAACAGTAACTGGAGCCGGATAACGTCCATACGGTACGCTGATACGGAATATACGACGCGTCGCGGCTGTGGCTGACTCTTTATGGTGGGGTGTGCTCATGACGTGAATTATTAGCCCTTCGGCGCTCGAGACAGCCTCCGGGGGTAGGTTCGTAAACGGGCGTGGCTTAGCCGGCAGGCGTGGCTCCGACACCACCCTTGAAAAACCACCAGTCACCCTCCCATGCACAGAGATACACGACGAATTGATTTCGTGCGGATTTCCTTTCTTACGGATTCTAGTTTCTTACAGGATGCAGATCTGTTCGTCCTTCCAGATACGGTTGACAGGATATCGCATGACATAATCTTATTCAGCTCCTAGAAAAAGATAAAATTGAAGTTTAGTATGACGAATGTTTCATTTAACTGGCTATTCTAGTATTTTGGAATATGTTTGGGAAAAAGTTTCAAATTGGTTTTTTGGGAAGTTAATTTTGCTATAAGTTAACTATAATAAAATTATGATACAGCAAATTTTAAATTTAATAAATTCTAATTAAAAGGATCATTTATTTTTGATAATTTCTGGGATAAAAGAATTGGCAAATTCCTCTAAAAGTTCATCCTATATACCCATAATTTCTGAAAAAATTTTCAGAAACCTTGAATGTAGTACTGTAGTAACATACTATAGTGCTATACTCAAATCTGACCAAAAAATAATTGTTATCTCTAGATAATCTTTATCTTTCCCCTGCTTCTAAAAATTGCCAAACACTCCCAAATTCTCAAACAAGAGCCTCTTCCCAGGAAACCGTGATTTTCATGTCCAACGAAATTATAGCGAAAGTTCCTCTGGTTCAAGGTGGTTTCCAGCATCTTTCCCCGGGACGAGCAAGTCGTACAAGTGGTGGAAAAGCGTCGGGTGGCTGGAGGAGGGAAACAGACGCAGAAAGGGACGGGACGGAGAGCTGGGAGGGAGGAGAAGCTTCGCCATCCTCCCAAAGCACTGTGCTCGCGTTTGTACAGTGGTAATGGGCTGTCAGGAGCAGACGTTCGCTGCTCGTGCCTTATATACCAACACCATTACGCTGCTCTTGGGTCGGTCCTATCGGCTTGCTCGTATTATCAACCCCTCTGATTACGTTCTCCGCATCTCTCCCTTCGCGGCTCTCCTCCATAACTCACCCTCTTCGACTGCCTCCTTCGATATGTCTTCTCATCACTACTCTGACTGGCCAACTGCGTATAAACTGTACTTTGACTTTGAAGAAGGGTTCCAAGTTAATGATCTGTTGAAACATAATTTGTTAACCGTTAGTATCACTGATTTTGTGTAGTTAATTTTTGGTGTATTAATTTTGTAGTATCAATGAGTTAGAATGATATCGACTAGTGATGAATTTAGATAGAAGTTAAAGAAATCTTTTCCAACCAATCTTGAATTTTCTTGAAATCTTGAATGTTCAATTTACAATTCTAGTTTAATTTTTATACCTTGAAAATAATTTATAAATGACCGAATAGATTGTATAAATTATGGCCACCAAAATAAGTTTCATTGAACTCCAGTGCTACTAGCAATATCTGTAATGATATGAATTTTGTATTAATGATAGTTGAACGAAAATCTTCCTTACTATTTAAAGTAATTTAAAAAATTGTCTTTTAATTGTTTTGTGTATCTATATACTATATGCAACTATTATTTTGAACGAGAATTTAACAAATTAAAAGAAAAGTTTAAAGAATGAGTAGTGACTAATTTCAAAGTTATAGTTTATCATTATCATTAACAAATAATTACCAAATTTAGCAAATTTACATTTTAATCAAACTGGATCAATACTCCAGTGGCTTGTGAAAAGCTCAATGTTTTCCGATACTCGTGATTTACATTCATTCTATTTTAATAGTTTCATAGATTTTTGTTTGGTATGTATGGCCTTTATTTTATTTATTTTTTCTGATATTCTTTGGAGGGTGAGGAGTGAAAATCCTCACTTGGAACTCCGACTAGTGCCACGTGTTCATCGACCACCCCCCAACGTACCTTTCGCGTAGTGATCAATACTGCGAGAGGTCTTCTGCAGAGGACAGGTAGGTTGCTGGTCCAGATTTCAGCATGGGAGACAATACGGATAAAAAGGCGCAAGTTCAACACAAGTTCGCCACAACGGTGTCCTTGAAATTTTTTCACTTTCCATCCATTTTTATTACCAATCAGAGAAAATCTTTTGAAACTTGTCATCAATTTTTTGGAATTTGTGTTTCTTTTGCTGTAATTTCGTTGTTCCAATTTTCTTTTTTGTAACGAAATAATTTTAAAGTAAAATGTGTTTTTGTGTCGTGTCAAAGGTTCGAAAGGTTATTAATCATTATAGTCGGAGTAAAAAATTATTAAAATTTTTGTTTCATTTTGTATGATACTCTTGTTTGTTGAAACTTAAAAAGTCTTCGTTATAAGCATTTCCAAAAATTAAATTTGCAGGCGGTACTTAGTGAATTCAAATTAATACTTCGACAGTCTTACGTTGAAACATTTTTCATATAAAAAATTTCGAATATTTCTGTTGAAATTAAGCACGAACTGTTTCTGTATACATATGTAATCTTCTAGAAAGAACTTATACTATTTATGCCATCTAGTGATTGCTGTTGGAACTATTGTATACGTATTTGAAGTAAAATATATTTAACTGCAAATTCAATTTTTTATTCCAAAAGGTATATTACATAGATTTTATTTTTCAAATTTACTTAAAATATTATATAATATCTACGTTAATATATATTTAATTATAATCTTACAGTATAACGAGCCATAAAATATACAATTTTAAGATGGGATTTTTAGTGCATTTAGTATACCAGCTACATCAGTAGAATACTGTTTCTCATTTCAACGTTAGGTGTGATATTTATTTTTATTAAACAAATTGTGATTTCTTTACGTTGATTAATTAAATAATTATATAATAATATATAATGAATGTATGTTCCAATCCAATTATGTATTCGATAGTATGATACTTTTTTATAAACTTCCGTAAAATAACCAAATTATTGAAGGATCAATGGTTTATCGTCAATATTTTAATAAATCTTTTTCGTGAAACTCACCACTTCGTGTACGGAGGAGTCTTGAACATGATCGAATAATTAAATGCTTTTATTACGCAAGGTGCTCATAAATTTGACGCTTCTTGCTGTGATTCTTGTGTTGTTTTACTGCTATCAAACGTCAAATGGTATACGCTGGGCATTACACGGTGAGCAAGAAAATGTTTCGACCATCGAGTCGAAAGGTTCTAACGAGGATACGATCTCCACAACATTATTCCTCTCAAATAAGAAGGTTTATTACAATGTCTGGTGCATATTCACAAAAGTTGCTAGCAACTCTCCGATGAGACGAAAATTTGAAATCTTTGCAGAATCATTACTCAGACTATCCTCTGTCCATATTGCATTTCATGTCATAACAGATGATGATAGCAAGAATGTTGCAGAAAATGTTTTGGAGAATATTCTTTCATCTACAGGGAAATTTATGAATGTAAAGACATGATTTTATTTTAAAAAATTAAATGTCATAGAATATATTCCTTTAAAATTTTAAGTGCTGTATTCCCTCATTTTAGGTGCAATATTATGATGTACATGAGTTAGCATTGCAATTGCAGGACATTGTATCTGTCATGTCTCCACATTTCAGCAGCAAACCAGGGACATATTATTCAGATGCACTGTTCTTTTTGTCTTTGGGTTTGCATCGAATAGCTCCAGCTGAGCAAAGTGTTGCAGCAATGTTCGATGCTGATACTAAATTTCGTAAAGATATCAAAGAACTTTTTGAAGAATTTAATAGTTTTGGAAGCCAAGCTTTGTTTGGTTTGGCTCCAGAGCTTACTCCAGTCTATAGACACGTTTTGTATTTGTATCGTAACAAGCAACCCAATACATTATTTGGAGAACCTGCTAGCTCAGGTGGTTACCCTGGTTATAACAGTGGTGTGGTGCTTTTTAATCTTGACAAATTACGAAATTCTACTGTTTATGAGAGAATCGTAAAAAAGGAAAGTGTTGATGCAATGACTGAAAAATATCACTTTAAGGTAATGGATGTAACTCGGTGATTCTATCTTCACTTTAATTAGTATTGATATTTTTGGTACAACTTGGTATTGTTATTTGTCATCAAGTACTTAATAGCCAAAAAAATTTTTCATTTGTTTTAGGGTCACTTAGGAGATCAAGATTTTTATACCCTTTTAGGGATGGAACAACCCAAATTAATTCATACCATTAATTGTGGTTGGAATAGGCAACTATGTACATGGTGGAGAGATCGTGGATATGCAGATGTATTTGGAAATTATTCAAGGTGTGATTCAGAAACAAAATTGTGGCATGGAAATTGCAATACTCCCATACCTAATGATTAATGTTTATTGTTATTATTGTTTACAAATTTAATAATATCTCTCTATTAGAATTAAGGCATAAACTAAATTTATTGTTAGTGCAGCTGCAAAAGTTTGAAAATGAAACTTGTTACTGTTTAAATATGTTGTTAGTTAAAAGGTCTGTGATTCTTCAGTGACAATACATATCTTCCATCACAGTGGCAATATTTAAAAAAAAAAAAATATTACTTAATAAGTTTGATCATTGTATCAAGATTATTTTTTAGATATTACTTTTATATGTTATATATATTATTAAAATATAAAATTTGAAAATAGAATATGTAAAATAAGTTGCTAAATATTATTTTTCGAAATTAATTTTACACCAATTACCAGTTACATGTTATAAACATTATAAATGCTATTTTTATACAAAATATAGCTATGAAAAACTATTGAACAACAGTGGATCAATTAATTTTAATAATGCTATTGTAGTTTTTCAATGAATAAAGTATTCATGTAAGTACATAATTGTATTTTCATTTTCATTTGTAGTTTCTGTTAGTAATTAATTCAATGTTTTCAATCATACAAAGTTGTTCCCAATGTAATTTATTAAGTAAAAATCAGAATTTCTTGTTTTAATTTTTAATGGAACTACAAAATAACAACATATATAAATAAAAGTGTCGCCATAATATATTTTTACGCAAAGAAAATAATATTAAATACAATATTAACAAGTTATATACTATTTACAGTATAGAATACGCCCTTCCATGGTGATTACCATTTACCATAAAAATATTTCTTCTTAATGATCATAAATTGTAAAACAAATATATATCTCAGATTTGTTAATTAACCATAATAATAGTATTTGCATTAACTCTTCTACAATATTGTTAACATTGTATTAACAAAGTAATGAATTTTTCATTGAAACTTTGTTACGATAATTGCAAAAAATCAAACGAAATAAATTTCTTTTTCTTTTCTGTTAACACTAAATGTTGTAAACGCAAAAAAATTATATCATTAAATATTTCTTCGTTGTTTTATGAGAACACATGTTAGAACTTTTTAAACTTTGTTAACGCACATTAAGAATATAATCATAATTATAATAATTTCCAACCTATATGACTGACCAGATTCTCTCTTTTTCTTTCTCTCTTTCTCTCTCGCTCTCTTCCTTTCGCATACACGCAATCTTTTTTAGGAAAAAAAAAGATAATCTTTCATAATTAAACACACACATACCCTAACTGCATCTAAATTCGTTGTACAGTACGTGAAATAAAAAATGTCACCTTTGGTCCCAATGATAGAAACTTAATGTTAATCATAAAGAATAGGAAATGTTAGTCAACATTGACTCAACCGTTCAGATCTAACCTATCTTCGATCCTCTTTCTATTGAGATTAGGAACGAACGGTTGATTGAACTGATAAAAAAAAAGAAAAACTTAACAAAAATTGCATGGACTGCATCGTATAATGAGCAACAATATTTTGAAAACGAACTTAAACCGGTCCGTTGACTATTTGGACACGAAAAAACAACATTCCCCTTATCGCTTTACACAACTAAACGATATGTACACATCATCGACTGATTTCTTTTCTATCGATAATTTTTCTTTTTAATTGTCCCGATTTTTACACACGGTATATACACGTGAATGACTAATATGACTGTCCTTTGCAGATTATTAGTCAGTGAATCTGTCAATGGAATGATTTCGAAAAAATTAGATTGGATAATCAACAAAAAACATTAAAAATAAATGTTTGATCGTGATCATAAGGTACACATAAACAACTTTCTTTGCCCCAAAATTCCTATTATGTCGATAATTACTTTTTTTTCTATTATTAAGGTTGTATGACTTAAAGCACCAAAAATGTCTCCTTGGGAATGGTACATCCTTTGCCAGATTTCCGATATTACCCTCGGATGGGAATATTTCCGATAAATTCTGAAAAGCAGCTAACATCTCTCTGCGGCCTGCAACCATAAATTTTCATTAAGCGAATATAAAAGCAACAAAAACTTTAGAATTTTGCAAATAATACGCTAAATTTGGAAGTATCTTCCATTGACTATATTTTTTCCAATAAATAGTCTTTATTAAAATTACTTCCAGTATGCAACATTCTATCTTCTAGCACAAATTATTACTTTAGCATAAATTTATTGCTTTTTACATCATGAATAATTACTTTGTTTATCAAAGGTTATTTGTCCAATGATTGATTAAAAGCTTCTGTTTAATTATCCCTCTTGTTATATAATTACATTAAAATGCTTACACTTTTTAAGTTCTCGCGACCGCCAAAGTTTCGAATCGATTCCAGTAATATATCTCGCTGGTCCATCTGAACAGGCATGGACTTGGGTCTTGCACTTTTTAATGTTACACCTGTTATCACGGGCATTGTAGGAGGCCTTGGAGTGCCATTCGTTGACTCCTTAGGTAATCTTTTAATACCATCTTCTTTTATTCCTTCCTTTGAGCCCTCTTTCAATACTTGAGTTTGGTTTTCATTGTTTTGGCCCTCAATAATTTTGATATTTGATAATTTGAAGCTTCTTACAATGGGCAATGGCTGATTTCTTTTCATATTTAGTCCATTTCTAAACATCACGTTATTACTTTGACTTTGTGTTGGAATGCCCACAATTGAAGTAAATTTCTTAGGTTTCATAGTATTTTGGTAGGCATTTGTTAAGGTTTGATTGGAGTTATGTCCATTATGCTTGTTGCAATCATTTTCCAACGAAGAATTTGAACATTGGATCGTATTGGATCGTTTCGGTTTCGGTCGATTGCAAATGTCTTGGCCAAACGCTTTTGTTAATTCTTTAAAATTCACTGGAGTAGTATCTATAACATTATCATCCTGTTTATTTTCCATGAAATTCTTTTTTAGTTCTACACCTGTTACAACTGGTTTGTCATTAGTAACTTTCGATTCTGAACTATTAATTTTATTTAATATTGGTTTTTTGAAGCCTGAAACTGTATGAGTAATCAATTTCTTGTTTAGTTTATCAGGCTCCTCAAATTTACATTTTTGCATTTTGTTGGAATTATCAATTTCGTCACTGGAGGTGTTTACTTCATCTTTAATGCCATTGATATTAACAATCGTTTTACTGTTTGCTTGTTTTATTCCAAATTTATAGTCTGTATCTGTCTTTATTTGAACATTGATACTTGGACGTTCAGACCAGCTACCTAAGTTGATTGTGGGAGGTCCTGAATAGATATAACGTTTAGTATTCGTTTGAGAAGGTGATCTTTGGGGCTCTGATTCTATTTTATTACTTGGTGCTGTCTGAGGCTCACGAATCGAAACGACATTCGATTCAATCGAATGTTCGTTAGACGTAGTCCCGGACCTAGTAAAATTAAACAATATTAAATAATGTTTACTATTTGAACTTAAAAGAAATCTCAGGTTACAAAGAATTTTAGATTTACTTCGCTTTTTCAGATAATACTGTATTACTCAAATCTTTGGGCACATTTTCCTCCGCCTGTTGAGCATTTTTCAACTGCGGTAAAATGCTTTTCAGCACCTGAAAAAAATTACTTATTACAGTTATAAAAAACTTAATTCTTAAAAAACTTGCACAAAATTTAGAATTACCTACCTGTAAAGATTGCAGTTGCTTTTCTTTGGTAGGATTTTCTTGTCGCTTCAAAATATTATCCCGCCATTGCGAGAATTGTTCATTATTTTTAGGCGTAATTATGTTTAAGTTGCTTATGCTCGTTGCTTTTTTCATTCCGGCATCGTCCATCTCCAAATTTTTTCCAGTTTTAATAACCTGATCTTCATATACGTTACCCTGATAGTTAAGTTTGTCACCTATAGATATGTAACTTTTGGATCGTTGAATATTACTCTTCTCGTTGCCAGATGGACACCTTTGTATGGATTCCACTTGTATCTTTGGTTCCAGCTTCTTACTATTCAGTTTATGAGCTCCAACACTGAGTTCCTTCGAATTTTTATCTTCATTGTCATTTAGACTTCTCTTGTTTCTGGACAATGTTGCAAACGATTTAATAAACCTTTCATCACAATTTTTTCCTCTAGACTGCTCCTGTACTTCATCAAATATATTTAGATTTTTTTGTTTACTGTACGTTGTTATGGTAAAATTTGATAAGGTATTATCCACAGGAGCAATTTTAGGGATTGATAGATTTGCTGCCTTCCTAGAGTCCACATCCTTTGCAGCTTGAGGCAAAGTACCTATTTTGTTTTCTAGCTCATAAATCACCTCCTTTTTCATGATCAAATCTGGCTTTCGTTGTTGATACAACTTTTCTTTTTGTTCCTTCCTGACTTCACTTTCTTGTACTTGGTCCTTACTTTCTTGTCTTTCTATTTTTTCTAGAATGTTCTTCAAGTCTTTATTATTTAATGTCTCAACTATTTCTTTAGTTTCTGAGTCCCTAAAAGACTCAGGTGAAGGAGTAATCATTTCAAAGTTGTCGAAGACCGGAGAGGAACTGTCTCTAAAAGCACTTGGAGGAGCTGGAAGTTGATATTCCCATTCAGTGACAGATAAATCTTCGTCAGCTGCCGATATGTAATCTGATGTATCCTGTTGTGAGTTTACAGTTAAATTTGTTGTGCTAGTGTTCATGTTGGAATCATTGGTGTACTCAGCATTCTTTTTGTTTTTTTGGTTCGTTTCTTGAGAGAAATTTGCTAGCTCTAATTTTGTGTTAACTGGAGAATCTTGTATTTCATTGGGTGATGAAACGGGCAAAGAGTTGGACAAGGTGTCAGATACTTTCTGGAGCAGGACATCAGTTTCTGAGGGATCTGTATCTGTAATTTAATATTTCAATAAATTAGCTGGATATTCGTTAATAGAAACGTTGTTCAAACTTTGAATTCATTTTAAGAAAGAGACTTATTTTTGCCTAAAGTTGTTGACACTGTGCAAATAAACCAAAAACCTCATGAAAATTAAGCTACTATTGCTTCCCCAACTTCTACCACCTTGTACAAGACATCAAACAATTCCTTAATTCTAGAAATTAATTATAAATTGAAAGTACAATAGTGATGAAAGGACAAATTATTTTTATTTCTTAAATTCTTCAAAATTAATATTTAATTTTTTATATTTGAAGTGATTTAATCATAAAAAATTGTTTGAAGATTTGTGCAAGTGGAAATAATGCCCACTCCCACACACATTAGTGATATGCAACATGCACCTGATGGACCTACTGCAACATAGGATTTTTCTCCACCCACACCTTGGGAACCAGTATCTTGCTTCTCCTTTTCAGACAATAGATCAATACTAGAAGTCACATTTAGATTCAAGGCAAACATGATATCCTCTGCATGAGATGTTAAATGTCTCTTCTGTTTTTCCAATGAATTAATTTCAAAATCATTCGACTTTGACGCTGTTCGAAGGATTTTACCTCTCTTTGGTTCTTTTAAGCTCTCCTGAGTAACTGTATTGTTAACACTCAATGTATTTAAGTGGTCACATTTTGGCATTGTAGAAATCACAGCACATAGTTTCTTTTCTTGACTGGAAGTACCCTTAATTAGTATTGAACTGTGTACATTTTTTATTGTGGAATCTTGATTCAAAGAAATGTCTATATTCTCTTTATTTCCATCTATATTCGATTCTACTTCATAATTAGCCCCATCATCATCATCTTTTAAAGTCAAGTTCATAGACTCAATTTTATTCTTCTCTTCTAGGTTTATTGAACTATAATCGAAACTTGCTTCAATCTGATCAATTCCAGGTGTCATAAATATTTCATCTTCACTAGTAGAACAGTCAGAAGCTATGTCCAGCTTCTCCTCAGATTTGAAGAAGATTCCATTGCTAGAGCCAACGCTCTCGGTATAACTCTTTTCGTCAGTCATATTTAAATTCTCGTCATCCGTGCAACTTCTGGTACTGGAGCGTGTAGAAGCATTTAGCAAGCAGTCTACGTGGTTGGAATCTGAACTGGGAATTGTAATCAATGGGCAAGGCGGTGCTAACTTGCGTTTTGGTACCTCAGGTCGCATTGGGGCAGCTTTTCTAGGCTTGGGAAGTGGAACAGGTTCTCCAACTGTACTCAGAAGGAAAGAAAAAGAAGAGGCCATCACCAATGGGTCTACTTAGCAAGCAGGTGAATACCGCTTAGAAAAGATATTTCCGTGCACTGAAGAAAAAATATAAAAGTGTAATTCTCTATAAGCATGCAATATGAAAATGCTACTTCTAATTGTTCAAGAAATAGTTTTTCTTTGGACAGTGATATGGTATAAAAAGTGGTATAAAATAAATAAAAATTTGTCGATTACAGTGTAAAAAATGTCAAGTATCAATAATCATTACGCGCATTACAGTACAATTTAACATCAATATGTTTAAGGTAGAGGATGGAACAGATCTCACTAAAATTAGTACCAATTTGGTGAGTAATATAGAAAATATTTTCAGTAATATTTAAACAAATTCGCCAATTCTGCTTTCTAATATCGAATTCAACTGAATCAAAAACCTATTCCAACTTTCTGTAGATTCTTCCCGACTCACCAAACCTGGCGGTGGTGGTTCTAAAATACTTAATTTTTTCTCAGATTCTAACCGACATTCACTGTGCTGAATAATGGGCAGAGAAGGTAATTTATCAACATTGCTAGGTATAGGTTCTATGGCTGTCACTGGAATATCTAATGGTTTAGTAGAAATTGCAAATATCTGTAAATTGCTCAATGGAGGTGGTGAAAGATTGGATCTATGATTATTTATCATTGGATCTTCAAACGTATTTCTGTTAAGGTTAGAAGAAATCAAACTATTGTAATATTTAGTGGTATCAACGTTTCCTAGTCTTGGCTGCTTGCTTTCCATTGATACAGGAACATTTTTATGAGCACAGAAACTTCTCGAACTTAATAATTTTGGTTTTTCAAAACTATTAATTACTTTTGTTTCTCGTAATTTATAGCCAGCTTGAAAACTCGAGCTATGTTTTAATGATTTAGTCTGACATTTTCCTTCACAAATATAATTATCCACATGCAATTTCCTAGGACTGAACCTATTTTCCAAGACACCACACACTGGCATATTTTCAATATCTGTTTCTATATCATCTAAATTAACTAAAGTCTGCATCTTAATCAATCTGTTTTCCAATTTAAATGAATTTCGATTGGAAGTATCTTCGTTACCCGAAAGACTGCACATTTTAGACCATTGCCTAGACTTGGAAATGACTACGTTAGAATCGGCAAGACTCTGAGATCTCTGTAATTTATGTTGTAATTTAGAACAATTATTCTTTGATTCTAAAGAGCTAATTTTTGGTGTGACTGATCTACTTTTGGAAAAACTAGTACTAAATTCGTCAGAAACTCTACCGTTTTTATATTCCGCACTACACGCTTGAATTTTTGGCTGTAAATTAACCTTCTCTGGGTCGAAAGTATTTATACATTTCCTCATGGAGTCTGTTCCTTCTTCTACATTCTCAAAGTTATTTGTAGATATGAAACTATAAGAAGGAACATTATTCTCCATACTACCACGGCTATGCACTAGCTTACCTCTCTTCCGCAGCACTCTAGAGTCTACAGGAGCATCTTCTACGGGAGCAGGGTGCTCTGGCTCTGTACCAGATAATTTAACATTTGTAGAACCAAGTCTAGAACACGGATCAACTTTGGATTTATTATTCTTCGATTCTAATTCCGTTTTCACGATTTCTGAGCTTGTGAAATCAATGCTTCCTGATAATTTTGAAGCAACTGTTGTTACTCCGATATCTGAACTAGCTTTTGGACGTTCTTCTATGTCTGAGTTCGCTTTAGATGGAACACCGATATCCGAAGGTGGTTTAGAAGGATCTATATCTGAAGTTAGAGATTCTTCGGAATCGACTATGCGTTCAAGTCCTTGGGTGGAGATTGCGGACGACAGCGGCCTGGAGACTGGCGGAGGAGGTGCAACCCTTTTCTTTCGTAATCCTGTAAAATTCAGTAACACCACTATTTATAGTGAAGCTAAAATATTGTAATAAAAAACTCGATAGATATACAATAAACAAAAAGGACTATAATTGCAATTTAATGAAACATTGTCATTGCATGAGGGATTATTTTTATACCTACACTACATTGCTTTTACCAAATATATTTCAAAATAAAATTTACTATTAAAATACAAAGCATACATAAAATTAAAAAGAGAAAGTCTGTGTTTAAAATAAGATAAGAGAAAACTACACCTGTGGAACTCAATGAGGTACTGCTAATTCCATGACTAAGCGTACCAGGTACAGAAGCCAGGTTGCTCAGGCTTTTGCTGGACTGAGATGTTTGAGCTAATTTCCTGGGTACTTCTAATGGAGCCTTGTTTCTTCTTGGCAATGTTTCTGGAAGTTTTCCACTGGAGTCTAGGTTGTCACTTAACACAGAAGCCTCATGGTAACCAGAACTATCACTACTATTGCGACTGTGGTTTATTACCACTTTATCTTTGCTTGAATCTCCAGAGCTTTCCTCCGTACCCTAGAACAAATGCCACCATTTTCATCACAATAAAGTTGTTTTAACTATATAAAAAGATATATTACATATTATTAATTACGTGTATATATATCTACCGAACAAACAATTTTATTAAAATTACTAACTTCTGCTTGACCCTGAATAGGCGGCTTTGGTGCAGGCCTTCGTTTTCTCTGAGGTCTGGCAGGCGGTTGTAGAGGACTCGTGCTTCTTCCAGTCTCATCGCTTCTCGCTGGCGATGCACTGCGTTCACCAAGACTATCCGTACTCAAGGAACCCTCCTTAGATTTCTTGAACACAAATCCAAATACACCTTGTTTCGCCTGCTGCCTACGTCGCTCCTCTTGTCTCTGCAGAGCCATTATATCCTGGGTACTGAGCGCTGAGCTTAATGTTCTACCTTGCTTAGCATACAAGGTGACTTCCTGAAGATGATAATCTTGCAAGGACAACGACAAATCCAGTGTCTCCAAGTTTGCTGTGGAAGGATATTAATTTTCAAATTTTACATTCACTTTCTCCAACAAATCAAGCTTTGTTTCTATGTTAATATAGATCCTGTCTAATATAGGAAATATCCTCAGCAGTCTGAATTACCTCTAGGAAAGAAACTGTGCCGATTAATCGATTGTTCTTCAATGAAAATGGGATTTTCACTAATCTATGCTTCCCCTGATAAAGAAGACACGTGAAAAACACCCGTGTGCAATACCTCACCGAAGTCTCTCTATCAACTATGATGCTCCAAAGTGGATAAAGACCATTTCATGAGAAGGGGTTTCACCGAACAGCAAATTCCAAGTGAGGCGCGGCTTTGGAGCGCAGAAAGAGATTCTTACAGGTCCAGGGGATCGGTAACAAGTGTAAGGGAGCATCGGTTTCCGCGGAGACGACGAGCCCGAAGAGCAACGCGAAGCATGCACGCTTAACGACTAGGAGTAACAAGTGGAAGAGCCGGCCAGCAACCTTGCGATAGCGATCTTAACACAACTGGCTTGGTGTAACTAGCTAACTGAAATATCTCGTGCACCGGCGCGTAAGTTCGCGAGATATATAATCGGGGAGTTCCCGCCGGTGTTCATAGTATCGGGAATAGGCTCTGGAGAATGGCCGAACCATTTATCGGTGAATCTGGTTATGTTCAAACGTAGTGGGGTGTTCTCAAGCCGATGATCTACAGGGTGACTTGTTTGAAATTGTCATCTCAATCTGAAGATATTAAGTCTACCTTGGACATTAGGACATGTCTAAGTTAGGTTTTACCACTGTCATTCTGTTTTGGAGATCTCAATACTGGAGATCAAAATCCAAATCTTTTAAGATTTACTTAGACCAACGAGACCGATGTCTTGTCAATCAAACGAAGGTTGTAATTTTTTGCCAGAATTAACGAAACCTGTTCTAAGCCCATGAATCATACCGAGAAATTAATGTCGAAGGTAACTGGAGCTTAGGTGTAATCGAAGACTACACTGATGGGCAGTTCTCATCTCGTTATTGTTGCCTTTTGGAGGCAATAATGACACGTCTTCCAAGTGAAAGTCATCTGTAGTTGTCTTATGTGTTAATAGTGGTTAAAGACCGTCATTCATGAGTTGTGGGAAAGAGCAAATAGCACATGCATAGTTGTGCTAAGAAACATCTTCAGAAGTTTCTCTAATTACAAAGAGAGAGAAATCACGAACATAATCCTAAAATTCTATGCCTTGTCACGTGGTAAAGGCTCTTAGGAAGACTTTCATCCGTCTGGTGAACCAGAATGCAGAATTTCAGAGAAATTGGATTGAGACCTGCTCGTTATGTACACACGTATACATATATTTATACACGTGTGATCTGGATGGCTTCGGAAGCCATAACGTTTGGAGTAAACCTAGCAGAAGCACGCGGCTACTGACACCTCAGTTTGCAAATCTGATACGTGCTTCTGAAAATTGATACCGACATTAATCACGCAAATAATGCTATTCACTGTGAATATTGTTTTCGAAAGCTTCCCTTCTCTTTGGTTTCCAATGCTGTTGAAGGTAACGCGAAACACACTGAACAACCGAACGACAAAAATGATTGTCGAAAAAGGATGAGGTTACTCAACACGTGACGCAATACCCTCTTTACTTAAGAGAACCAGTTGGAAATTAATTTTAAAAAGGCAACCAGGCCAGTACTGCCGGTTTAAATATCAAATGCAAACGAAGTAATCTAGTTCCGTTTCAGTTACTATGCTCCACAGCGCAATGAATATCCGCCAATTGTGCGGGACAATCTTATCGAACAGCTTCCCGTTGCGAGGACGAAATTTAAACAACCTATCTGCACTCTTTTCCACGGAATCTCGCGTAAACATCTTAATTGCTTAACACAGTTCGCCACGAGTTGATACCCCTGTTTTTAACGAGCTTCGGGTCAATGTTCCTGTTTGTACCACTAAAGTTTTAAACCAGTTTCCGGAATATTTCAGAATTTCTATTTTCGAGAATTTTTATGCCCTTTGTGTTTTTCCTATAATTTTATTTTCTTAATTACTTTGGTTAGGAGAAAACGTAGATTACTTACTTGGATGATGTAGTTCATACTTGTTTTTATCCAAATCTTTTTCACGACATACTTCTTCTAAGATCTCGCCTAGGTTCATCTTGGGACTGACTCTGGACACGTAGAGCTGGTTTCTCGGTAAATGTACCTACGACAGTTGCACAATCGTGATTTTTCTGGCGCTCACTGATTATTAGATAAATTATCGTACACGCGAGGAGATATAGAAAATGGAACGATAAAAGTGGAACATCTTAAGCGAATATTTACGAAACTTGTTGACTCTAAATTCTGTTGTTTCTAACAGTGTATATTTAAATTACGAGATATTTCTTTTTACCTGTAACCTAAACGTAGTTTCGAACGGTTGATTAACCTGCTTGGCTTTTCTTGGTACCAAAGTGCCCTGTTTGGGTAGCAATTTTACCTAGAACATCGAATACAAGGTAATTTGTACGTGTGTGTAAATATTATACACATAGCTCGCACTCGAAGATATTAGAACGTTTACATTTACCAATTTTGTATTTTTATATTCACAATATTGCATATAATGATACTGTATCGTGTTATATAAAATTTTCTTTCACTATATGTATAGAAAATACCAAGAGAGAAGATTTAAAATTGAAAGAGTAAAATTGGAAAATAATTCAACGTTTTATACAGTATTTACATTACATACTTATAGTAAAAGATATGTATTATTGATGATTTACAAAAGTATAATAATTGTCGAATTGATTGTCAATTATTGATTGAAAAATGAAAAATTTTGATACGATGATGATCCATCTTTTGCGACAGCCTTAATCCTCTTGCACTTATGCATCGAAGTAGTATAAAATTAGTCACTATACATCTGCTCCATCCACGATAAAATTAGATACAAATTTTAGGAATTCTCTGAATTTTGTGTACGTTAAAACACGTGAAATATAATGAAGATTTTATAATTAGTATAGTTTATACTTATGATATTGAAGCGAAGAATTCGTGACGAGTTAGACTCGTTGTAGTGCAAAGGGTTAAGGCGATTTTCCAGTAAGCACACTAGCGCCACCATGGCTCATATTTAGAACAAAAGCGTTATAAATTAATTTTAGGACTTCCTCCTACTACATCGTTTTAAACACCTCGATTTAAATATAAATGCAATATAATCATGCGAATACTTATATATCTAAGTGTATGTAAAGCCGATATACACTAAACAGGTGCACATTAGCACATATACTGTTCCACTTGAATAAATCTAAATAAAATGGGAAAAATTTGAAATTACTTGCTTCGAGAAAATGAAAATTAAAATGAAAGCAGCTTCTGTGAGTATTAATTCCAGTAACGATTTCATTAAGCATGAAGTAGGTAAAAGTACATCTACGTCGAGTATTAATTACATAATTTGTTCTATCTTAGCCAATTAAATTTTTTTTAACAACATCCTTGCCCATAATTAAAAAAACGTGGGTAAAGAGTTAAAAATAATTTCGATTAGAGGTCGGCGAAGCAGTTTGGTGAGATTAGAAGTAATTAGAGGCAGTATACAGAGAGAATCATGTGTGCCGCCTCCTTCCTCGAGGATCACACGATTCACGGAATTCCAAGTTGCTTCCTCGACTCAAACCCTTCATTTCACTAGACAGAAAAACCGCACAAGTGGCATTAGTAGTAGCTCTTCTCTCCCTAATGCTACAATTTCCTGTTGGGAACATCTAAAAAAGAAGCTCGTAAAATTTGCAAAGATGGGAGAGAGCCTTCCGTACTCTCCGAAGTATTAAAAAAGATTCTTGCCTATCCATAATTCACACACGAGACCGTGTATCCGTCCTTAATTATCACATAAAATATTCAAACAACTCCTTAACCACTCAATGGAACAAGATGAAATCTCCACACTGACTATTTCAACGATATAAATTAATTTACAATGTTTTCTTACGAAATAATAAGTTATAGTTGACAGTCGTGAAGATAGAGTTGAATGTCATACACTACGTGTCATAACTATAAAACTACTGTAAAATTTTCAATTTTTATATTACGATTAATGTTCATGTATGCAAATTCTCGTCTAGCCTCTTTATACCGACTTAATAATCGTGCAGCCTTAATTAAATTTTCTCTTCTTCTGTGGGAACTGCTTGTAATAATTCAACGTATTGTCGAACAAGGCATGTTTAGTCAAAGTTCCGACTTAATTTGAACAAGTGTTTTACCAGAATTGCTCACCGTATTAAGAGTTAAACATTGAGGAAAAGGAAGTTTAAACATCAAAAGCAAGGGTTAAAAATCTGGGAAAAAGCTTTTTCTTAGCTCCTACTTTTTTATTTTGCACATATTGATTAGGATTGAGAACGATTAAGTCTACGTGCAACTTTACATATTTTCTGTATTTCTTTCAAGAAAAACTAAAATTCTGCCTTTTCTTGCTCGTTTAAATAACTTCCACCCGGCATTATTAATCAAATTAACCGCTATAGTGGTTTTATAGTTACGACACTTAGTGTAGTGCAAACGATACCTGGAGTGCATCCAAAGCACCGATTGGTGTATTGGGCTGATGAGGTAGAATCATCCCACGCTCTCCAATGGCTTGAAGGGTGTAACTGGAAGCTGTTAACTTGTGAGCCGTGGTAATCTGCACAAGGAGATCCATCATCGGCGTACTGTGGACAGAAAGAAGCCCAGAAACACGCTTAAAATTCGCTCTTGATCTCCACGCCGGAAGTGATAAGTCATGCTACATTATGCCATACCGTTCCGCGACATTGCGTCGACACGTCTCAGGAATCGAGTCCCTGAACTCTATTGCTATGCTCTACAGACGGTGTTTCGTGCCAGAGAAAATACGAGAATTTCGAATTCCAACCATCGCGAACACGGGAAAAAGAATATTTCCTAAGAAGAGAGGATTCAGTCATATTCGAAGACCTTTCTAATTTAGAAGCTTCAAGTGTAAAATCGAAACAACGAGGAAGATATTATGTTCCAAACGAATTCAGGTTATTAACCCTTTGCACTCGACGATTTTTTGGTTAAAGAAGAATAGGAGTTCAAAGATTTTCTGTTACAAAGCTGACGATATTTTTCTGAGCAGTGAATAAGAAGTCGTATGATAATTAACACGTAGAATTAATTGATTTCGATACCTCGCACACCGTTACATTATCTGAAATTTGACATATTAATGAATATCGAGCTTCGAAATTTTATCAAATGGCGATTGAAGGGTCTCTCGAGTGCAAAAGGTTAAGATTATTAGTTATTCGACTTTTTACCTCGCTCGTATTAACTCTTTGGGGCACACTGGGATTAAAAGTGTCCCACCTTTTCGATGCACTGTAATGCATTATGGGACATTTTTAGTCCCACCTCCAAATATTGCAATAGCTGCATGCGCATAGGTTTATATTTCGTCTTATTTACGTAAAACAGTTGGTAATACCTTCGACAAATGTTATAAATGTATTCGCTCGTGTTGGCAACATTCAACATGCCAGTACAGGTTCATCAATTGTTGCAAGCGGAAGGTTTATTGCGACAATCTTTTTTTCCTGGTTTTATGTTTTTACATTATGTGATTCCTTTATTAGTAAAAATCTACCAATTTTGTTTCATTTAAAATGCAATAAAATTTCTATGCAACGTGGGTCTATTTTATTATCTGAAATTCTGTGCCGCAAAGAGTTAAATGTAGTTAGAGAAGTTGGAATAAAGGACTCGCGTTATACACATGGCAGCTGAACGGAAAAGAAAGTGGAATTCCACGCTGTATCCGAGGTATCAACTCAAAGATCTTTGAATTTAGTGTTCTTGGAAACGAGCATGCCCGAGGAACAATGATACTCCATATTTTCTGCTCGGTTTGCTTCGATCATCTGAGAAATCAAGGTACTACGAATTTTGTGGTCTAATCTTCCTTAGCAACCACGCTAATTTTCTCCTGTCTATGCCTTTCTTATTCCCATTTTACATTAGGTTCGCGAGTCTTAGAGAGACGTCTAAGAAAATATTAGCTTATGATAATGTGGTATTGTGAAACTAGGAAGGACTCTAGCAAAGGAAACACTATGCCGTCCGGTGGCACCACGTTGTTGTCATGCGAAAACTATCGGGCAAATGCCAGTGACACCACGTTGGTATCATGCACAAATGATGAGTTATAGTCCTACCGGCGCCAAACAAAAGAATCCCGATTAGACGTGCGGATGGTATAGTGTTAAGAACGGTATTGGGTCCGGCTTAGGCGTTTAGGGTATCATCTGGAGTTCATGCAGACGAACGGATGACCAGGTGCAAGAATTGTATGGATGAGATATTTATGACACAGTCGAGTGCAAGCAATGAACGAAAGTCTAGGAATGTTTCCGAGTGTCTGAAGTACCTAGCCCAGGGCGAGGCGAGGTCGCGTGAGAAATGAGTGATCAACGAAGGGAGCTTGTGTATGAAAAGAGAGAGTGATAGACTTTAAATAAGGGTGTAAGGGCGCGAGCGAGGCAGAATGCATGTAGTCGAGAATCGTATGTTTGAGAATTAGAGTTGAGAGAAACCGAGTGTAATATTTTAGTTTAAATAAACCTGTTTTGTTATTAAGAAGGAGTCGTTGTTTATCAGACAACCAGATCTCTGTCAGCATAGGATCAATCTATCACTAATCCTACAATAATAACAGTAAGATCGCAAAATGAGTACTTTCTTCCAGCCGAAACGTTTTTAGCAGATTGCTAAGTAGAATCGCTGAAGCCACCGTTTCTATGAAGCGACCCGAATTTGTGGAAAGCGCGAGAATCGGATAAGTCCTGTTCAAAGGGAAAAAACGCCGTTGAAGATAGAGACGAGAAGAAAACAGTCAGCTAAATTTCTCCTTCCAGAACAGTTTCTCAGCCGTAGAAAGCACCGGGATGAAGATTCTTCTCACAAGCCAGGTATCTTGAATAGCGAGTTACATTTAGCTGAGCAAATCGAGCAATTCGGTATATAATCGAGTAATTTCGGAAAAGTGTAATTCGGTGAATAATCATTTCAACAGAATCTTTACCAAGAATGATCATCGATTAGGAGAACGGTAATTTGGTTTTTCAACGACTGATAGATCACAGCGCGAGGAGCATCTCCCATAGCCTGAGCACTCTGCCTACATAGACGCATGTAATTATGAAGCAATCAGTAGACCTAATATACGGTAAATTTGCGCAAAAAGTAATTACAAAACGATTACGGTGTTCCAAATGTCGCTGTTAACACCACTGACCAAGTTAAATCGGTGAAGAGCGAAGGATGGACACCTAAGACGATCTCAACCTCCGAGAGCTTGAAGCAGGCCACTGGAAACGAGGAATAAAAGACGTTGCTCAGCAAAGAAGGCTTCGTAATTATGCATCGGCACTAGCCGATGGTAATTTGAACAACGTAGCTGCACTAACACGATGATCCAGGAATTAATCTGCTAATCGAACCGTTAGATTAACATCGATGAACGATCCTGTTACGAGCAAATCTAGTGCAACGAAACGCGTGTGCAACCTTGCTTTTCGTACGGCCAATCGATTTTACTTCCAATTCGATATCTGGTTGACCGTTAGATGGACCCACTTTGCGAGGTGACGTCCTCGCGATTCCTGCTACAGCGATTTCAGCTGGCTTAGACCATGAATCTGGATGGGAATTTGAGATAATGCGACGCGAATTAAGATCGTGATAAATAAATTCTATTAAATATGACTGGAACTGGTTATTAACGCTAAAAATACCGAACCAGCCAGAATGACTGGTTTCAGGGTTTTTATTTTACAGTTAACGTAACGCATCGAAAACGTATGACTACTTTTAATCGGGTTTGACTGGTAATATCCGGTATTAATTTGATCAACCTACAACGTAGCATTTGATTTAATGATTTTCATAACGCGATTTTGATTATTGTTATCCAAGTGCACTTATATTTGGATACATAGGCCGGTAGGTGTAGCGTACAATCAATTGAACTGATTCAATTAAAAAGAACGCATCACGCGCCAACTTGATATTGCGTGATTGGTTTATATTTTACGGATCGCGAGTATGATTAGTATAATAATTATGTGTATAATAATTAAATGTGAAAACGTTAGCGGAATATCGTCATTTACAGTATTTATAAGACGCGATTTACAGTATTTATAAGATGTTTCAGTGATGGATGTAGAATACGTACTGATTTTTGCTTCCTCTCATGTCACCTCGTGCCCTGTTCGACGTTTCCTCGAATTTGTTTTGATTGGTTAAAAGTAGATGTTAGTGAAGGAAAAATAGAGTTTTTTGATTGGGCGTGGGTGTGTCCGAAGAACTTTCCCACTTAAAAAGTGGGAACTGTCAAAGAAGTTGCTTTTCAGCAGTCAGTGGCGTGATTTATAAGTAGGTGTCCATTCGTTGCTTTAGCGGGTCTATCGCACGTGGGTACAATCTGTCGGGGGTCTGATAGTTGTAAATGTTCTGTACTTTTGCATTTAGATATATGACTTAATCTACTGAGAGGCTGATGACACGCCTCTCCTCTAACCTAACCTTCGGAAGTGCACTCGTAATACAAAATAATAAAGTCTTTAGAATTATCGAAGATTAAAATACGAGTTATGGTATAACCTCGACCTCAGGAATGGAACAGTAGGTTTAGCGTTAACCCTTTGCAACCCAGATTCTCAGTGACCAGTTGGGAAAATTGAATTATAATTCTGAAAAAAGATGAATGCTCCGTATCAAGTTTAAAGTAAACGATACACGAAACATTTAAATAACACGTTAATTTAGACACGATTCCTGTCGATGCTATGGCAAAAAGTATGGCAGAAAAAATGTATGACAGAAAATTTTCGAGTTATGGTTTCTCTGTGACGAAAGAATCTTAAGTTTGTTAAGTTTGTATATACGAGGGAAGATTGAAATGATGAATAGATTAGTATAATACCTTCTCTGTACCGTGACCCTTTGCGTTTGAAGATGATACTCCCGAGGTAACTGGACCAGGAGCTCCATGCTACCGGCTAGCATGTCTGCTGGCGTGTCCTCGGTCACGGTTAATACCATTCTGGATGGCCTCTCCTCTCTAGTCCTGGAAATAAATAAAACGAGATATTAATTAACAATAAAAATTAAACCGCTTCGACATTAGAACGATGACAATGATAGAACGAAAGAGAAATGAAATTGTTTAAACATTATTCAAGTAGCGATTCAAACTCGAATAACTGAAACGATAATGAAGAATTAGGTAACGTAAATTGGAGTGTAATTCGAATTTTAATTCCATTCTTTGTAATTAATTTGGTGCCACGTACTGGTTATAAATATCCTCCACATCATGCGCAACACGATTCTTGTTCCCATTAATACAAAAGTCATGGAGTTCGTGTTTTACCGAATTATTTGCATAACAATTCCAGTAAGCAGCATGTTCGAAATAAAGATTTCTTAACGTTTCGAATGTGTACGAAACGAAAGCATGCATTAAAACAAACGTGACACAAATTCCTCACGACTTCCGCAGAAACACACCGGCCACACTTTCATGTTCCCATGTTACGCAGCTATTCAATGCCAACCGTTATCATCGTGGTCGTTTTAAAACGCGGCCAAATTAATCTCGATCTAGATTTCGTGCTTAAAAACAACTGAACTGGTTCAGAACGAACGGACAATGCTAACCTGACCGTTAAATGCCTTAAAAGTGAAATGTAACATTGAATGTACCTTAAGTAACCGTGAATGATAACTCTTGCAAATCGAACACCAATTTTAATAATGTCCAAAGTTCTTCCACTGATTGCGTAACATTCATTTTACCTCGCTCAACTATTTGCAATAATGAGATATAAATTATTTTATTTTACATTCCCTTTTTTAACTCTTTAGACTCGTGCAAGTTCAATTGCATTAAAATTTAGTAAATTTTGTAATTTCTATATTTTTCTTAGAGAAAATGTTGAAATAATTGTACGATATTTCGTTCGCTTTAAGGCGGCAGAGCAGTATGACATAACCTCTATTATAACCTTCTTTAAAAATTCATAGAAAATGACTGGATGAAGGTAGCCGTGTAAATTTTTCACCGACTTTATTTTCAACCTTAAACTACTCATAAAAAAATTGAAATGAAAAATATCGCAACAGAAATGTCCGAAAAAAAATTTTGAATTAACTATCTGCTATATAGAGCGGATCTCGATGGTAGACAAGATACAGCGTGGAGAAAAAGTCTGCTAAGTATGAAAAAATGTGACGAGTAAAGGCAAACAATGTGGCTATGCTATTGACCACAGTTAACAACTTTAGAGCATCGAACAAGTTCAAAGAAAAATCACGAAGTCGAAAGTGATAGAATAAGACAAATTGTTCCTAAGAAATAATTTTTTTGAAAAATTTTCCTAATTTTTTTACAGTGATTGGAACTTTGGTTTTTTTGTTATGCTGTTCACCATGGTTGAAGACAGTGTTGACATAAATATTTTGTCAACGAAGGACGCTATATAGTGATGCGAATTTTTCGAATTTCGAATTCGGGTTTCTGGACAATAAAAAAAATCGATTTTTTGAAGGTTATACTGATACTATACTGATCTGCCCCCTTAATGCGTGAAAAATCGTACAAATGACAAAGACGTGCAGAGAAAAGGATGAATGGAAAATAATTTATTGAGAATCTCAATGGAGACTTATGAGAAGATACTATTGAAAAAGTTAGCTTATCGATGCCAACGAAGAATTCAAAGAAGAATTCCAATGTGTATTCTGACGCGTATTCTGAAAGGTGTAAGAGGATACAGTGGAACGGTGACACTTGGAAGTCGAAACGCGTGATAAAAAGGAGATAGGATCGTTTCCTATAACGTAATCCACCCTGTCGGTCTTTCTTGAGTCGAATAAGGTGGTCAGATCGATTACCGTTTATCTGCTGCTATACACTGGCCAGAATACACACAGCTAAACGTTTAATACGACACTCGTTCATCTCATACTTTACATAATATCATACCCGTATCTCTCCGAGATTAATACGATTCCATACTGCTACAGGTATAACCAAATGATATTTTAAATTATTTAAAGAATTGTACGTGCAACGTAAACGTAATGTAAGATCGAAGAAACGTTGAAGAGAAAACGTGCCCGATGATATCCTAAATAAACCTTATCTTGGACTCGCAGGGAAAACAGTAGTTTCATCAGTGATTTTATAACAGACTCTCACACGCCATTACGACATTTGGCAATTGAATGAACGTGACTGTTGGCCATTGAAAGGAAAACGGTTGCTTGGAGCTCTTAAAATTCCTTCACGATTTCGATACAAGGCGAACGAAACGCTGAATTAAAAGAATCATCCATTTAGACTACCCTGACAATTTGAAATTACGTTTCATTTTTAACTTATCGCGTAATCGTACTCTTCGTACACGAGATATTTTCGTTATATTAATGCGGAATAATTTTCTACGGAAAAAACTGAATCGAAAATGTAGGATAAAATTTTTTCGTATGGGTCATAATTTCGCGAAAAAACGGTGTTCAAAATTTCTGGCGTGACGTCGCATCAGCGAGGACGCCATCTTCGTAATGGCCGCGTTAAACCGTAGCGTGCACCCGGCGATTTTCTTCCTTCGGTTTCCTCGAAATCGGAGAACCCTATGAAAGACACTCTTAAGACACATTTTCTTTAATTTTTTGCGCCGAATCTGTTGATATATTTAGATTTTATTTGCGATTTATCTGCGGTCATTTTTACGATGCACTTTTGACAAGATGATGACTGGAGTGTAATTGTTTCTCTGCTTCAGGCGCAGTTTCGGTTTTCATCGGGCAACCAGGGAAAGTAAATTGAGATCCACGCACCCATTTCAGTATAAATCACTCCAGTCACGGATAGCCGATGATTATATCGAAGGAACGGTACCGTTACATAATTCGGACCTCGAGGAGAGGCCCTTTACGTAAGAGGCCCTGGGTGCTGCTTACAAATGGCAAATGCAGCCACCGACTACTCAATGTTGTTAATTGCATACATGTAACGCGACCAGACAACCGTATATATATATATATAAACTAATAAACTCGAGGCGGTGAGATGGTGATTCATCGCTGTTTACTCTGCTGATAAACCTAGAGATGCATTCCTTTCTATGAATGCGAAAACTGTAAATGTACAAACTTCACCTGCACAACGAAGACACTAAACCGATATATAGACAACAAAATTACATGCTATTAATTTTATCACCAAATATTTTATTACATAGGGATATTATTTTTAGGAACATTTAGTACCTAAGAGTTCAACATGCATAAAATCGCATTACTATTTGGCCACTTCTCGTATATTTGTATCTCAAAAAACTAATAATTATTCTTGCTTCGACAAATCAAATTTGGTTTCCTTGGGACACGACAAAAACACTAGGAAAGAATTACTCCTCTTGGTATCTTCCCACAAATATAAAAATCATACTCCCAATCTAACAAAATGGAGTTTCACCAATTGGCACTGGTGAATCTTAGAATTAACCTAAACGGAAATTTATCTTCAGACTTTTATAACCTCACTGCGGTAAATGCTAGGGATTTTCTGGTAAACCCTAGGATTCACCGATCTTTAGGATTTTACAGTAACATATATATTTATGACGATAATAGAAGAAGACACTCAAGAAAGAGAACCATCGTGTGCTCCTTTCATCATACCTGAGAAATACTATACCAAAGAGAATGTATAGATAACACTATACTGCGCGCAAATTAATAAATCTTCCCCTGTCGAAGAATATCGCCACGTGCAGGTGCACGTGACTCGTAGACGCGTCCCTAGAGCGATTCGCGATAGTGGCTTGCTCAATCAGTTCCCGTGGCTGGTACGTTTTCCACCACGAAGTCCGCGTGAAAGAAGTACAATAATAAAACAGCAATGCGTGCTCTGGAGACGCTTGTTCGTAGGCTTAATTCAGTACTTGCGACATAAGGCTTAAATACCTAAGGTACTCGAGGTACTCGATTTCTAGGGAAAATTCTTGTGAAATTCATTTCTGTTTATCTGTTTCTAATATGGGTCAATAGATGGACAAAGTCCGATAAATAGGTGGGTCAGTTATCCCCACTACTGTGTCCCCTCTCTCTCATACACGTGTAACTCTTGTTCTTGGTCTAATGCTCGTATACAAGAGTAGTTGCGAGACTATCCTTCAACGTGTTCAGTATTAGAAGAGAACTGTGAGTTCCCATAGAACTTTGAGGAAAATTAAAACAATGTAAGTTTACATCAAATGTTTATAGTTAAGTATTTGGTTATAGGAAAATATAGTAATATTGTCTTGCTATAATAAGGTGGTAGTAAAGTATTACTATTTCAATAGTACATAAAATAGTGACTTTTAGTGAATAGTAAGTTTTGAATTATCTTTTTTAAACATGAGTTGACAATTATGTTTCTTGGAGCTTATCAGTAACCTATATAACATTGAATATGTTATCATTATACAATATGGAAATTAGATATATATATATATATATATATATATGTGTGTGTCTGTGTGCTCATACACTGCGTGTCATAAATATAAAAATTTTAATTTTTAATTTTTAAATTTCATCTCTAAATTTTAAATTTTATATATATTCTTGTTAAAATTTGAAGAAACGGAATATGCTGTATTTGAGATTGCGTTAGGAATCTATGTTTCTTTAGAAATATTAAGACCAAGCGTTTTAATATTGTTTTCTATCAATATTGTACACGAGATACAAAGTACAACGTGACAAAATCTAATAAGAAATATGAAAAATTGACTAATTGAGATTCTTAAAGATAAAGGAGGACTTATACATTATTAAATTATTGTTATAACTTAATTCTACTGTATTCTCAGCACAATATTTGTATAATTTAATAAGAATACTCTGTTATTCCAGTTTTATAGTTACGAAACAAGAATAAATAAGTTTTCTATATCTCTGCATTTTTCTAGTGGATCCAATTTATCCTTCTTTCTCAGAATGTCATTTCCTAACACAAGATCAAATATGGTAAACTTCGCTATTTGTTATTTTAATAGCGACATATCAAAA